AACACTTGGAGAGATACTTCAACCAGTCATGAAATGCTGCCATTTTGCTACTCTGTGGACAATGTGTATCATCTGTTGTAAACACAAACATCTCAATCTTTGCTCAGTGTGTGCTTTTGCAAAAGAGATGGATGATATTAAAGACTTTAATCTTTATTGTATTACCTACAGCTTAGCATCTAAGGTTGCCACTGGAGTACGTGCTTATGGACGGCTGTTAAGATGAAGTTGGTGACATGACATGGAATACAGAACATGATGCATCCAGCAATAGTAATGGGGTAGATTTAGGACCTCTTTTAATGGTGTACAATTTGTTCTCTGTGTTCTAGTATCCACTGTGAACTATAGGTAAAGACAAGATGCTATTGTATCCTCCCTCAAGTTTACTTTTGTGTTAGCTGATTCTCATGATTCAGTGCAGTGTAACTTCCTTGTTCAAACAAACCCAGAAATGTTCAATCTACAGTTTAAAAACCTTCAACCTGAGTGGTGAAACTTGGGTTGTGACCTCAGGTAGCATTTCAAACTAACACCACCATCTGGTTAACTGCTTTAGAGTTGAGTTTTGTTCACTTAGTCAAATACACCTGTATCATTTATTTTACCATGAAAAACAGAGGCAGGACAAAACTTCTGTTGTTCTGTATATGCTCATAGTACCTGGAAGAGTTGAAGCATTTGTACAGAACTGGAGATCTCAAGACCTCTCCATGTCTAGATTTACATTACAAACTCGCATGGCTCTTCCAAATATTAACCAATCTCCTTGAAGTTTAACAAACTCAAATGTGGAGATTCAGGACCTGAATTGTCTGGGGTTAGCAGGGCACTGTCTTATGTTGCTGTGTCTTGGAGCAGAAAGAAGGCAGGGTGTGTGTTTTTAAAACCTTGACTAGAAACATTTTGATATTATATTCTTATTTTATTGGAGAAGTTTGGCCAAAAACAAGCCTCTGAACTGATTTGGTTTGTGTCTTTTGCATGCAGCTGTAGTTTTTATTTGTTCTGATTTGTTTGAGTTGGTTTCCTGTTTAAGGATGATTAAAATCGTTTCTTAATCTGTAAATAAGGCCAGTGTTGCCAGAACACACCAATTAATTACCAGAAAAGATAGATTCTATGTGAATAATGACATAAGGGACCATTGTGGAATCATAGAATGGTTGAGGTTTGAAGGGACCTCTGGAGATCACAGATTACAACCTCCCTGCTTAAGCAGAGTCACCTAGTCCAGTTCACCCAAAACCATGTCCAATCATGTTATGAACATCTCCAAGGTTGGAAACTCCACAACCCCTGTGGGACACCAGTTCCAGTGTTCGGTCATGCTTGCATTAATTTTTTTCCTCATGTTTAAACTGAATTTTTTTTATCTCAGTTTGTGCCCATTGCTGTACCAGGTATTTATATCCACTGATATGATTTCCCCGTCCCCTCTTCACCTCTCCAAGCTGAACAATCCCAGCTTTCTCAGCCACTCCTACTATGTTGGATGCTCCGATTTCTTAGTCATCTTTGTGTCCCTTTGCTGCATCCTTTCCAGGATGCCCATGTCTTTCCTGCACTGAGGAGCCCAGAACTTGACCCAGCACTCCACATGTGCCTCTCCCGTGATGCAGAGAGGGGAAGAATCACCGCCCAACCTGATGCTATCCCTGCAAAAGGCAGCTGCTGTCCTCCTTTGCCAAAAGGACACATTGCTGGCTTATGTTCAAATTTGTTGTCCAGCAGGACCCACAGGTCTCTTCCTGCATAGCTGCTTTCCAGATGATTGATTCCCTAGCATTTACTGTTTCATTGGGCAGTTTCTCCCAAATGCAGGACTTTGTGCTTCCCGCTGTTGAACTTCATGAGATTCTTGTCTGCTCATGTCTCCAGCCCATCAAGGTACTTCTCTGCATAACAGTGTAACCAGCTGGTACATCCACCGCTCTCTTCAGTTTTGTGTCATCTACAAGCTTGCTGAAGGTGCAATCTGTCGTATCATCTGGGTCATTAATGAATATATTAAATGATACTGGCCCAAGGTATCAACTCCTGAGGTACCCTAGTAGTGATTGACCTCCAGCTGGACTTCTTGCTGCTAATCATAACCCTTTGAACCTGGCAGTTCAGCCAGGTTTCTGTCCACCTCACTGTCTGTTGAGCTAACCTATACTTTGTCATCTTGTCTTTGAGGATGCTATGGGAGACTTAAGTCATACAAAGCCTTGGAAAACAGAAGATAAAGAATATCACTGATGTTCCCTTTTCTACCAAACAAGTCATCTTATCATAAAAGACTATCAAGGTGAAGAGACATGACTTTTTCCTTCATAGATCCATGCTGACTACTCTCAATCATCTTCTAGTCCTTAACATATTTGAAAATTATTTACAGGGTTACTTGTTTCATCACCTTCCCAGAGATCAATATAAGGCTGACCAGCCTGTAGTTCCTTAGGTCCTTTTTCTTACCAGTCTTGAAATTCAGAGTGCCATTGGCTTTCTTCCAGTCTTTAGGAACCTCTCCAGTTGTCATGACCTTTTCAAAAATAGTCAAGAGTGGCCTTGCAAAGGCAGTGGCCAGCTCCCTCATGGGTGTGTCCTTTCAGGTCCCATGGACTTGTGTATGTCCCATTTTTTAAAATGTTCACTTACCCAATCCTTTTGCATTGATTGAATGTTTCCTTGCTTCAGACTTTCCTACTGCTCTCAGGGGCTGGGATTGTTGGATGCTGACCTTACCAGTAAAGAATGAGGCGAAGTTCATCTTTCACCATGTATTTTGTCACCTTTATAGGGGAGGGCCCAATTTTCTATAGACTTTCTCTAGCTGCTGATATATCTGTAGAAGCCCTTCTAGTTGCTATTCGTATCCTTCTTCAGATTCAGTTCCAGGTGGATTTTTGCTTTCCTAACCCTGTCCCTGCATGCTTTAAGTGTCTCTATTCTTCCTGCATCATCTGTCCTTGCTGCCACCTCTCATATGCTTCTTTTTCATCTGTGAGTTTTGTCAGGAGCTCCTTGTTCATCTACATAGGCCTCCTACCATTCTTACTTGAATTCATGTTACTTGGGATGGTCCATTCTTGAGCCTGGAAGAGGTAATCCTTGAAAATGAGCCAGTCCTCCAGGAGCCTTCTCTTCAGGACCATATCCAATGGGATTCTTCTAAAGCAGGTCCCTGAACAGGCTCTCTTGAAGTCTGGGATTATAAGCCTGCTGCATGTGTTGTTTCTCTCAGGATTCTGAACTCCACCATCTCATGGTCACTGCAGACAAGGCTGCTCCCAGACTTCACATTCCTGACTAGTTCTTCCCTGCTTATAAGTATCATGCCCAGCAGAGCATATCTCCATGTCAGGTCCTCCATCACCCATGGCAGGAAGCACATCACTGCACCTCAGAAGGTTCCTGGGTTGACTGTGCCCCACCCTGCTGTGCTGCCCTTCCAGCAGACACGAAAGTGGTTGAAGTGTCAGCGTCACTGGGCAGAAGCTAATACACTGGGATTCATGGATAGCACACTGTCTGTGACTGGGCAAGATGGGAAGTAGGAAGAGCTGTTTGTGGGTGGGTAGACACTGACATGGAAGAAAAGTGCTGTGTATGTTAGTGGTCGCACATAAATCTTGGTGTGAACAGCGTTGCTGTAAATATGAAAATGTTATAATATGGAGGTGAGAAAAAAGCCAGTGGGTGGTTTGGATGGAAATTGCTGGTAAAACAATCCTATTCTACTGTTAACTGGATGTAAGTCTGCAGGTAGGAAGAAAAAAAATTATAATTCTAAAAGTTACAATAAGAAAACAATCTACAACTTTCTCCTGAGGAGAAGAAGAGGGGCAGACACTGATCTCTTCTCTGTGGTGACTAGTGGCAGAATACAAGGGAATGGCCTGAAGTTGTGTCAGGGGAGGTTTAGGTTGGATATTAGAAAAAGATTCTTCACTCAGAGGGTGGTTGGGTGCTGGAACAGGCTCCCCATGGAAGTGGTCACAGCACTAAGCCTGAGTTCAAGAAATGTTTGGACAATCCCCTCAGGCACATGCTGTGATTCTTGGGGATGGTCCTGTGTAGGGCTAAGAGATGGACTTGATCCCGGTAGGTCCCTTCCATTTTAGTGTATTCTGTGATTCTGTAATTCACAAAATGTCATTCAGGCTTCTTGATGAACTGAAACTGTGAAAAGATGTAAAAGAAGCCTCAGGAGTACAAAGGGGTACTTGATATGATATTGTTCTTACAATATCTAAAACAAGTTTTAGATGTTTCACACAATAAAGACTGTGGTGTAAATAAAAAAAATTATAATTTTAGTAAAAATATCCTTTTATGACTGACAATGTAGGGAAAATGTTGCTTAAATAATAATGGACAATTAAGAGATGCTAGGCTGTGTCTGTCCTAGGAGATAGAGACCAGCAAGACCAGCAAGAGTGGAAAATTCCAGCACCTTCATCAGGCTGAAGACTTAGATACCAATATCGATATTTTGCTGCTGCTCAGACTGTATTTGCTGAATCAGAACATTGGACCAATCATGGTTAGCTTTGTCTGAGTGTTTAGATAGCAATTTGTTTAATTTCTGCGTGGTAACCTTTTCCTAGGAAAGTATTGATGTACAGCTAAAAACTGAACACCCCTGGGTGAGCTCCCTTGGTTGAAGGCAAACACATGCTTAAGTGACTTGCTGGACTTGAGCCCAAGGGCCTTGTTCATGATTATGGCTCTGTTTCCCGTTGTGCTCACGTTCTGTCATCAAATGTAGCACTAGCCAAGCGTCTCTGCTTAACGATACAGCAGCCCTGTCATTTTGCTCATAATTTGGAGTTATGTTTCTTGCCCAGTATTTCTAGAAGCAGCCAACACGGGGCAAAGGAATTAGCAGCGTGTCTCCTAAATATGTTAAGATGTTGATGGCACTGAATCAGACAGACCAATAGGTCTTTACAAACCTTCTGGCTAGTTTTAAAATTGTGCACATCTACTGATTCCTGTTTTCATGGGTGCAGATTGAGAACAGCAGTAAGTGGCACATCCATTGAAATAATAATTGTTCGAAAGTAGTGAATTGTGCATCCTTGAGATGCTCTCTGGAAAAAGAAGCCTCTGAAACTGAGGAAAAAACAGGTGGATGAATGCAGGAAGCAACTGAACTATCTGGAAGAAAGAAGTGGGTTTCTCAGTGTTAAAATCTGAGTTCTGCCTTTTGGAGATGGATATGCCAGTGTGTGAGTAAGCAGGAAGTAACTCAGCAATAATGTCCCTCCAACAGTGACATATTCTTTAAAAACTGAGGGAAAATCCAGGTAAGCATGAATAGAAACTTCCAACTTTGTTTCAGCTATTATTTACAGAGCAATTAATGCAAAACTTTCTTTACCCAAGAGAAGCACAAATTAATGGCTTCCATATACTAAAGACTGCACGTGGTTTATTTTCTTACTGCTGTTACAGACTATTCAGTTAGACTGTAGTCCCAGTTCTTGTCTCTAGCTTGTCAAAATACATTATTTGAAAGGAAATGCCAAATCTGATGTTAAAAAAGCAACCAAACTTAAATTTTGTCTTCAGTCAGGTTTTTCAGTGAAGACTGTGGAACTGTTCTTCCTTGACTCCTGCTGTGTGAGATCAGCTATGGAACATGCTAAGGAACATGAAGCATGTCCTGAACAAACTCGGAGGTATTGTGTAGAGAGACCAATATATAACCAAGAGCTCTTGCAAGGACAGCTGCACAGGCGACAAAGAACACCTCAGACTTTAAAGCAGAAGATTGCACATTCTTGTCGGTAGGGTTTTGTCTTTTATTTTATTGGTTAGAAATACTCTAATTCTAATTGATGCATGCACATAGCTGATAATCTCTTCAAAGAAAACTAAAAGATAAAAACACTAATTCTTTGATTATTCAGCAAAACTGTGAGGGAGTTGTATATGTGCTTTTAATGTTAATGCATATTAGAAAATGTTGGATACATTAGTTGAATTGACTTCATCAAAGTGCAAAGGGAAAATATGCCTCATAGGAATGTGAAGTATTGGTCAAATCACATGACATGAATTCATAAGACCCAGAGAAATATCTGTCCTTTTTACATGGAAATACTTACAGCCAAATTTGTGCTTCACATGATCCTTTCACAGAAGAATGTTGAAGTATGACAGCTGTGTAGAAATCTAAATTATAAGTCTAATAAGGTCTTACTAAAGGCATTCTGTAGCTTTCAATTAACTGCCTTGGAGTCTTAAGTATCATTTGGTTAGACCTGAAATGTCTTTAATTGTATTTCTCTTGCTCCGTGGTACCAGAGAATAGTGAAACTTACTCTAGTTAAGTTCTCATTAGCTTTATGTTTATCCATGCTTCATTTGCAGAGTTTATTCAATTTGTTGCCCAAACTTATCTGTCCTGAATAAAAAATATGTGGATCAAAATGCTCCTGACCCATGACTTTCTTGTGATACAGTTGCTTAAACATGGAGAGGTGTGGATGACTCTAGTTCCTCTCTCACTTGTAGCAACAAGCTTCTTCACTACGCAGTTTAGTCCCATGAGAATTTAGAAATGCTAACAAATCCCTGCAAGTCTCTTGCAATTCCCCAACACAGAAAAGCATTTATACGATCCAGTGTTATGTTTTTACCCAAGGTTAAACTTACCACAGTAAGTATGATGCATGGCAGTACTGGATACAGATATTTGTTTCCTGGCTTTATTCATTTGTCCCGAGTCAGGGTTTCAAAAGGTTGCTAGCTCTGCTAAGAGCCACAGCTTCAGTGCCTTTCCTTTCCGGATGAAGAAGGGTTATGTTCTCAAATTGCCTTAAAGGCAGCCTGTCAGTGGTAGCAGTGATAGTAACAAGTACTAGTTAAATTAATAGATTCAGGTTTTTTAAAGCATAATGATATAAAATGTTATAATCAAACAGGTATAAAGCACACAAATAGTAAATGGGAGAAAGCGCTGCAAAGTACTCTGATGAGTGAAAGCCACTATCAGAAAGCAAGTTATCCTTGGGGGATTTTTACTAGGAATGATCTCAGCAAAAAGTGTTGTGTGTCCGTTCAGTTGTGCATGGGCTGGAACAGTTTCACTTCCCACTGACCTGCAGCCTCTCAAGACTGTCATTCTCTTCTCCAGTTCCATAAAGTTTGTGAACGGCACCAACATGTGATTAAGTGCTAAATTAACTGGAGGCATAGTTGTTTGTGCTTAAGCTTGTCCAGAAATAAATGTCATCAGGAGCCTGAGCCTGCCTTTAATGAAGCTGTTTTCCTGCTAAGGGTGAAAGACAATTTTTTTTCAACCTGTTTGTCTCCTGCTGGTGTCTAACTTTCTTTCTGCTTTGTATTTTCAGTTGTACTTCTAAGAAAGCCAAGTCTCATCTTTACAGTTTCTTACCAATTTTAAAATGGCTTCCTCGTTACCCAGTGAAGGAATACTTATTAGGAGACATTATCTCAGGTATAAGCACTGGAGTTATGCAGCTTCCTCAAGGTGAGTGTACCTCTGGATTTAATTATCCTTTCTTTGCTTTTTCTGTGTGTGCTTTTATGGTAGTGCTTGGCTCCCTGAACCAGGTGCTCCTGAGAACAAGATGTGTATCTCAGGTGTGTGTGGAGACCAGTGTGGCATTCTGCAGCCCAGCCCATCATAATGATTCCCTTAAAACTGCAAGTCAGTGATATGCAGCAAGCTCTGAAAGAAGCTTCCTCTCTGATCAATACCCACAGGTCTCAGTGACAGAACAACTTTTCACAGTTTGTGTGTGTCTAAAGTTTTGCAGAATGTACCCAATTATGTACTGATCTCATCCTCCTGCAAGTTGTAGCAAATTTCCTACAGAGGGGAGCAATGTCCAACAGACCTATAGAGAATGTTTCAGGAGAGCAACTGCTGTAAAGTAACCAAACTAAATTCAACCAGAGAAGAACATGCAAGAATTCAAAGACTCATCCCTCTTTTTCTCTTAAGGCTGGAAGCTGGAACCATAGTAGTGGGCAGTGATTTACATGGTGGAAATAAATCAAAAGTGTCTTCTATGGAAGACAAAGCCAGTGTTCACCATTCTGTTCTTGGTGCGTGGACCAGTGGAATTAAGCATATATAAGTTTACTTGTGTGTTGACTTATTTCACATTTGCACCTTGCTTGTTCCACTGTAAATTGAGGAAGGTCTGAAAAATTAATCTGTAAATCCAAGAAGCCTAGATTTTAGTAGGTGGTAACTCAGTAAAACAGTGAAATAACTTAGTCTTTGTAGTTCATTTATTTCTGTAGCTTCCTGGTTTTGTGTAAATTTTATAATTAAGATTATTTTTTTTACATGCATGTAAGCATCAACTTATCTTAAACTGATAACTGGTTAACTGTCAGGGAAATCTGTCATCTACTAGACACAAACATTACCAGTTGAATACTGAAACAGAATTTAGGTCATGACCAGATAAGGACACTAAAATTTAAGTGGTCAGCAGTGAACTTTATACTTAATTTTGTGACTCTGTTTTAAAGTAAACATTGTTCATTTGATGACTGCAAACATGCCCTTAAACTGCTCCTAATCTTTCCCTTTCTAAAAAGACAAAAGTTGAACTTTTATTTTTCTGGAATGGATGTAATTAAAGCAAGCATGAATTCAAAGAATACTGGGAATTATTCCAGACAGAACTACAGTGACCACGGTGTTTAAGCCATGACCTCTTGTCAAGTCAATATCTTTTTTAGTTCCTTGGCACTGACAGCCTTTAAAAATGCCAATACAAATGAAAGAAAAGGAATAAAAGAGTATTCATATCAGGAACTGCACATGGACCCACCCTGCCAGTTTTGAGACCGCTGATTTTCAGATCTGGTCACTTGTACTGTCAAGTTCAGCATCGTGTTAAAGGCCAGGCTGTTACAGTACAGGCTGTTTTGGTGATACTGTTGTCATGAGGGGTAGCCCTTGGGGCAGAGAACATACGTGGGACGAGTTTCAGAAGTACATAATGAAAAGCTCATTGCTGCAAGACAATAAATGGTATCCTCAGTCCAGTTCTAGTAGGAATGTGAACTCTTGGCTAGGACTCAGACATTGCTTAGGGCATGAGCAAGGCCCTATCTATGAGTTATTACACTGAACAAGAACACATGGATCCCTGCACAAGGGATCTTGACAGAAGATCCTTTCCTTTTTTAGTTCTTTTGTTGTAACCTGATGCTTTGTCTCCCAATTTAAATTAATGGGGAGAGGTGTTTATGGGTATCACTGGCTCTCCATGGTGGGTGAACCTTTGCTTCCTTTTGTAGTTGTACTGGACCATTGAGCCTTTTGGTGCTAACTTAGACTAGTCTGTCCAAGTGTGGTAAGAGCACACAACTTCCTCAGGTCTTACCAGCCTGCATTTGTGAAGGTGCAGAAGAACCAGGCCAAGCCAGGATACAAGGTTTTTTCCTTGAGGCCCATTTGTTCTGTTGTGGTGTCTTAATTCTCATTAACACAAGCTTGTAGAACTATGGGTTTTGCTGGAACTGCTTGGGACAGTTACATGTCATATCACATGGTGCTTGTGAGCCTTGTCCCATGAGTCACACAGAGGGGGGAACACCATGGAAACTGTCCCTCCCTGGTGTCCCTTAGAGCTGTTGTTTTGTTGTGCTTGCCAGTCGTCCCTGCAAATAGGAACACTGTGGATTGAACTTCCACTGCATGGAACTGGGCAGGGTTTAATGACAAAAAGGACTTCATTTTTGTCAGGGGTACCAGGGTACCAGGCTGTATAACCTCTGTGACCTTACAGATTGTCAGAAATGGTTTTACATTTTGAAGTATGTTTTGTGGAAACAAACTTTTATGTCATCCCAGTCATTCTGTGGTGAGGGAGGAGGGAAGTGTTTAATCAGTTATAGGTTACCATGAGCATCATGTCTGATCAGAAAAAGAGGAGAAAATCAGACATGTCCCGCTGGTTATGGGGATTGGGTGTTTCTAATCACAGTCTTTGGCAGATGAAAACAAAAGCAACAAAAATTGTTTGTTGGCTGTTAAGAAGTACTTTCTCCCACAAAGGCGAAACAGTGAGTGCCCAGGTGCACAGATGTACACGCAAACACTCACACCTGCAGTGCCTGTAATTAGAGACTTTGGTTTCCTGACTCAACCCATCATGTTTCTAGGCACTGCCCTAGACTATTATGCACATTAAAGAATATTCCCTGCAAAACCTCCTGTTTTTTTAAACCTGTGACAAGTCACTAGATTTCCTATTGAGTTCAGTTATAGTAGGCTTAAATCCCTTTGCTTCAGATGGTTTCTTTATGTTGTTTGCTTAACATACATGTTTGTGTCTGTTTTCTAGGTTTAGCCTATGCTTTGCTGGCAGCTGTTCCCCCAGTATTTGGCCTATATTCTTCATTTTATCCTGTTTTTCTATATACCTTTTTTGGAACGTCCAAGCACATATCAATAGGTATATCTGTATGGATAACTGAAAGTCTGTGTGTGTGTATGTGTTTAATGAAGTTGTAAAAAATAAAATTGGAGAAGTAGAAAGTGTAGTTATTTTCCATAAATTTAAATTTAAGCAAATAGGAGAAACTCAAATGTGTCAAATATAAACAGTACTTTTTATTGTTAATTTTTCTGCTCCAATTGGAAAGGAATGTAAAAACATCTTTTATCAGATTAGATCTAGAAATGTGAGCTCCTGACCTATAATTTCATCACTGCAGTCAATTGTCTGTATGGCCAGGATGAATCTTTAATTTGCATAATAGAAACTGAGATGGGGAAAAAAATGATGGTATTTACTTACTGCAGAGGTGTGTATTCACCATCTAACTAGCCTTAATGGTGCTAAGTACTGGAGCAGATTTGGAGATTAAAAAGAACATTATTTAGGTAGAAAATACTATTTTAGTTTAATTCCACACATCTCTTAAAAAGAACTACTCCTTAGAAAAAAGAAATTACCAGGATTTTAGCTAATTATTTTCCTCTCCCTCTTATTTCAGGCACCTTTGCTGTGGTTAGTATGATGGTTGGTGGTGTTGCTGTGAGAGAAGTGCCTGATGAAATGATTTCTCTGGACTATAATTCTACTAATGTTACAGATGCTAGGGATACCAAAAGGGTGCAGGTAGCCGTGACTCTCGCCTTTCTTTCAGGAATTATCCAGGTACGTGCTCACAGTTTGCTGTAAGGGCAAGTTCAGGTGCTGCTGCTACTGCTGGGTCATGGTGGATCCCCTGTCAATAGACTTGTGCTTCTGCACTGCCCTGTGTGGAGCACAGGCTGCCTCAACAGGAATGAGGAGGGATACATTGGAGGCAGGTCTTTCGCACCTTGCTGGACTGGGAAAATATGGGATCCTCTCCCCTTTCTTTTTTTCCTATCTCATCAGAAAAACTTAACCTGATGTTCTCTAATCTGTCCATAAATGCACATATGTTTGTCCATAAACCAATACATATGTTTACTCATTTCCCACATTGCACTTGCCAGTGGCATGGAAGATTCTGTGCATTGATGGCTGCTTACAGAACTGTGGCTTTAGAAAAGTTCAGGTTTGCCTGATCTGGCTTGGGCATTGAGGAAAGAAGTGGTGTCCTGTGCCCTGTGTGCTATATTTGGGTTGATGTTCAGGCTACATGGGAGTCACATGGCTGATACTTCTCTTCTACATTAGTTGTGTTTAGGTTTCCTTCGATTTGGATTTGTGGCCATCTATCTAACAGAGCCTCTGGTGCGCGGATTTACTACTGCAGCTGCAGTTCATGTCTTTACTTCTCAATTAAAATATTTCCTTGGCATCAAGACTAGCAGATATAGTGGACCCCTCTCAGTTGTATATGTGAGTATCTGCATTTACTAAACATGTAAATTCTGCTTTGTCTGGATCTAGTACTTAAGCTTGTTCCTGTTTTTTTTTTTTATTATATTGCCACTAAGTAGAATAATGCTTCAGTATTGAAAACTGGATGTGAAGTCTTTAAGTGCCACAGCAATATGTGAATATCTGAAAGTGCAACTCAAGTGTGACTTCACAGATCAGCACGATCTGAGATGGGCAGATTTTAGGGTTCTGCTGAATGTAGTTTTATGATATGAACAGATATTGTTCATTGAAGTAAGTCTCTTGTACACTGGGGGGAAATGTGCTACTGAAGTGCTTCACTGTAGACCAGGCATGTTTTGCAGAGCTAGGAAATATGATTCTCAGAACCTTTCCACTCCTGAATGGAAGAAAAGGGAAAATCTGAGATGTCTGTGAAAACCTAAGCCTTTGAGCAGACTGATTGCTGAGCAATAATGAAGCTTTAGGATTTCCACTATGTGTAGGCTATAGGAAATACCTTGTGGAAATCTTTTGGTATATTTGTGCAGATATAACAAACCTTCTGGAAACAAGTCTCATTAATGATTAATTCCAAAATTTGCTGTTTAGTTCACTTATCTGAGAACCAGACATACTAATTGCCAAACAAATAGGAGGAAAGATTTACATTTAAGATGCATACTACCAGGACATCTTGAATGTACAATATCCTGACAGCTGCTGTGATTTTCCATCTGCTTAAAGAAGAGTATGTTCATCTTCTTTCAAAGACCTCTTCAGAGGTTATTTATTTGTTTGTTTATTTGTTTGTTTTAATGCAGGAGAAGAAGGAGGAGTGATTGGTATGGGGAATCATTTACCCTCTAGCAACTTGGGTGTACCAGCAAGCCTTCTTTTCTAACATCCTTTTAATAGTGTTTTCAATTAAAATGTATTTGGAATAATGGCCAGTTCAGCAGTGTTGCAGGATCACTGTTATTTAATCATATTGTTATGGTAACCTCAGTGGTTGTATCAGCAGCTTTATTGTTTTAGAACAGTTTATGCAGCTCTAAGTAGATGTGACTTGCCAAAGAATATTTTAAGGTATTAAAAGGAGTTTGCATTTATTGCTTTCAGGTAGCTGCCAATGTGAAATATGTGTGAAAATGTTGAGGATAAGAGACATGATTGAGACTTTTTCCCTCTTTATAGTTTTTTCTCCAAATTTTTGCCCCCTCTGGGGGGGCAAGAAGACTGATGTAAATGATTGCAAGTACATCTCTCTCACTGAGATACTCTGGTCTTCTGTGTCTTGTGGGAACAATGGGAATTTTGGTGAGGCACTGGTTCACTGTGGTTATAAATGCAGAATAAAACCAAAGCAAAAAGTACTGTGTAATTTGCTCATTTGTGGCAAACCTCCATGAAGATTATATTTCCTTGAGAATAATTATGATGCTTCTGTTGTGTTGCAGAGCATAGCTGCTGTACTTTCAAATATTACAATGACCAATATTGCTGCCTTGATTGTTGGATCAACGTGCATTGTTCTGTTGCTGATTGGCAAGGAAATCAATGACCGGTTTAAGAAGAAGCTCCCGGTTCCTATTCCCATGGAGATCATTGTGGTAAGCCAGTTGTGAACTTCCATGGCTAAATTATGTAGCTTTTCTAAAGCTGTGGAAACTATCTCATGTTCTATCATATCTTACTGAGCTTGAGAGTAACTTCTGTGGAACATAATTCGTTTGAGCCTTGATCCAGTCAAAGGTTTGTATACTCTTAAAATTAAGGACTGGCGTGGCCAGATGGTAGGCATAAAGTCCCAAAGAAGAATTGAAAAGCAGTTTAAATACCCACAGTCCTCTATGGCAATGGGTAGATATGTTTGTTGTAAAACCCTCTCTATCCAGGAGTTTGGGCACCTGAATGGGTCTGTACAAGACAGACCTCTGAGAAGCATTTCCCACTTGGAGTCCAAGAGCTCAGAAACCCCTCCTGAAGGAAGGTGCTTCCAGATGCCTGTTCAGAGGTTCTGCAGGGCTTGCTCACTTTTTGAAATGCAGTAGTAGAAAGAAGAACAGGAACCAGCAGGACTTACTACGTAACCTTCCTTTCCCTGCTTCTGAGACTGGTAACTGACTGCAGCACTGATTCTGTTTCAAACAACTATTCTTAAAATACATGGGTAAAGCAGACCACTTAATACACATAAAGCCTACGTCTCAGACAACCTTTCACCTTTAAAAGGGATTGGATTTAAAAATTAGTTCCTGGATAACTAGAGCTCTCAAACAACCTGCACAAAATGGAGTCAAGAAAGGGAATAACTGAAGACACAAAGAAAAGGGATGCTGGTGAGACAAGAGAGAGGTGGTGTAATAGAGTATTGCTTGATAGTAAGGCAGTAACAAAGTGATACTAGACCTCTTCCTTTCTCTGCTGGTGCATCAGTTCTCTTTATAGATAGCAGGCTGTGCACATAAAAATAAGGCAGTGCACACAGGCATGAATGTCCTTGCATTTAATTTTTCCAAAACGCTAATCTGCCTGAGCTTGGCTCAGGCAAGGGGAATTTGAGTGATTCAGATCATACCATAGCATGTTCCATTTAACTGTTTCCAAAAAAAACTTTATAAAATCAGGATGAGTTGGATGTGATGGATGGAAAATTGTGATGATTCCTCCTTTTTATCTGCTTTTTTAGCCTCTAACTCTTAAAAAACTGATTGACAAATGAATGTAATCCCGTGTATGTATTACTCATAATCAGCTAACGTTTATGTTTCTTCAGGTGGCTTTACTTCTCTTTAGACAATGTTTACATGTGTTTGTGGATTTTTAGGTCATTATTGGCACAGGAGTTTCAGCTGGAATGAATCTGAATAAGTCATACAAAGTTGATGTTGTTGGGAATATTCCTCAAGGGTAGGGATGATACATTCTTATCAAAACTATACCTTTTCTGTATTACATGTAGTTTTTATTATATTAACTTCTAATTGTTTATTTCATCTCCAAGGTTACGTGCACCAGCAGTTCCCGAGATTCAGCTCATCCCAGCAATATTTGTGGATGCACTAGCAATAGCAATAGTTGGATTTTCAATGGCTGTATCAATGGCCAAGATCTTTGCCCTTAAACATGGTTACACCATCAATGGGAATCAGGTAAAGAATAGTTTTTGCATGAGAAACCATTTTCCATGTATATTCAGGGTTAAAATTCAAATTCTCCCCACGTTGAAGGAATCCTTAAACCAAGCAATGCTGTCATTCATTTTCGTTTTCAGACTGATTCATTCCTGTAACATTTAGAGATGGAAAATGTCTCCCATATTTCATCAGAGACTTTATTTAACAGATGATTTAACATGCATCAACTTCTGCATGTGTGAGAACCACAAGTATAAGGTGCAATTAGGTTGCTTATTCTCAACAATGAAGTTGCTAGAAAGCACTGTAAATAAGATGCGGTTGTTAATATGTATGGATAGCTCCAGCTGTGTACAGCTGCAAGGTATGACTGCCTCTGAGTTCTTTTTGCTCTATTGTTTAACACAGGAACTTATTGCCTTGGGAATATGCAATTCTGTGGGGTCGTTTTTCCAAACCTTTTCAGTCACCTGTTCAATGTCTCGGAGTCTTGTTCAGGAAAGCACCGGTGGAAGAACTCAGGTATGTAAACCCAAATTTTGTGCAAAACAAAGTTTGCTTTCTGGAGCTCCAAAACTAAAGCCTGAAGCTTAGCTAGATAACTGTGTTTCTCTGCCTGGGCCAGAATAAATAACTGGAGTTTCCCCTGTTTCAAATCCAGACTTGGCCAAGATAGAAAGCTAGAAACAGCTAAAATCTGTGGACTGAGAGGGAGAATCAAAAGTCATTTGAACAACTAGCCTTACTGAAAGCACAAGGGATAGCTAATCAGTAATATTGCCCCTTAAGGGCACTTATAAATAATTTCTGGCTTCTTTTGTTCAGATTGCAGGTGCTCTCTCTTCAGTTATGGTTCTGTTGGTACTTGTGGCTGTTGGATACCTCTTTGAACCTCTTCCACAGGTAAGGGTGTTTTCCATGTTAGGCATTGCATTGTCAGTGAACAGAGTCCCATGAGTATTGCTTAAACTAGAGATTTTAGAAGTGTTAATAAGCAACATAGTTAGCGCATGATCCAGAGCCTTTAAATTTTGTATGCATTTTTGCTGTAAGTTAACCTAGAAATAAATAATGTTTTGAAAGATCCAGCATGCTTTTTGCTGGTTTTTTTTAATATTGGATACCCTGGACTCTGTCTTTAGAACATAAAGATGATACCTTCAAGCAATTCCCCTTTAAAATCGTTTAGGTTGGAAAAGACCTTTAAGATCATTGAGTCCAGCTGTTAACCCAGAACTGCCAAGTCCACCACTGAATCATGTCCCCAGGTGCCATATCTACGTGTCTTTTAAATACCTTCAGGGATGGTGGCTCAACCACTTCCTGGGTAGCCTATTCCAATGCTTGACAACCATTTCCATGAAGAATTTTTATCCAGTCTAAACCTCTCATCCTGTCAGTTTTTACTTGGGAAAAGAGTTCATCTTGCTACACCTTCCTTTCAGGTAGTTGTAGAGAGCGATAAAACCACTCCGGAGCCTTCTTTTCTCCAGGCTAAACACCCCCAGCTCCCTGAGCTGCTCCTCATCAGACTTGCGCTCCAGACTCTTGACCAGCTCCATTGCCGTTCTCTGGCCACACTCCAGCATCTCAATGTCTTTATTGTAGTGAGGGGCCCAAAACTCAACACAGAATTTGAGGTGCAGCCTCACCAGTGCCACGTACAGGGGGATGGTCACTGCTCTGGTCTTGCTGACCACATTTGATTGCAGCATAGTAGTTCTGGATTGATGTTAAAAACTTAAAAGTAATAGCTTGGCCAGTAGAGGGTTGGTGCTGGGTTCAGCATAATGAGTTGGTTTTGCTGCACTTGTACTTGTTTGTATAAAAATATATATATGTGAATAAGTATAATCTGACTTTTAAAAAAAAATTCGTTTCTGGTGACGTGCAAAGGATGGTACACAATTCCTGTTTCTTTTTATAGAAGTTGGACCTTGAGTTACACCTATGTGACTGTTGCAGGAGTTGTTTCAGGATATTGTAGAGAAACTTGAAACTGAGATTACAGTCTACTGCTTCAGGCACTATAAGTGTAGCAGCATGGAGCATAGGCATATGTGATTTGTCTTGCTGGGAAAGAGTAAATCAAACTGTACTGAACTAGTTTGCCATTTCTGCAACTGCAGTAAAAGCATATGTCCACTGAACTGCTTGAAAAGTTATGGGTTTTTAAATAGAACTTCTGTTCAGTGGACTTATATCAGTTGTACAAAGCATAGAAATACAGTCATTTGTGATACTTTGAAGTTCTTATTTGTCATTGGGTTTATTTTGCTTCTGAAAATTGCATTTGTGTATTGTTCTTAGACAGTGCTGGCAGCAATTGTCATGGTGAACCTCAAAGGAATGTTTAAACAGTTTGGAGATGTCACACACTTCTGGAAAACCAGTAAGATTGAACTGGTGAGTAATGCACAGCTCAGTGCCTATATTCCACTACATTGCATTTGTTGCTACTCCCAAAACAGGGTAGAAACTTATCAAGGAGTTACAAATTGGTGTTGCATTGCAGATGACATTAAGACATGATGCTGTAAGTACCCTGGGAGAGTGATCTGTTGCAGATAAGAATATTTTTGTTGTTCAACAATCTTGTAACTCAGGTCAGAAGTAGTTTGGTTGCAGTAAAAGCAAAGCTCTGGCAGTGTTGCTATAGGAACTGCACTGAAGGCTGTGGGAATGTCTGAGAAGAATCTGAAAAACAGAGTAACAAAGAAAACTACTTGAGGGTGTTTGCCATCTTTTAAGATGAACCAAAAACCTGGCTGGAGCGGGACAGAATTAAGAGTGCATTGGAGGGAACATTTTGGTGGCATTTTTCTCCTGGACTGATGGAACTAAGTGAGACACTACTTGTGGGCCTTGAATATTTATTTTTTTAATCCTGAGGTATTTGGAGTCTGATGGTAGCACAGGATTCCTTGGAGAACAGGAGTTAAGGCATTAATATGACAGTTTGTCAGATGTTACTTTGGAGCACCTTGAGCCTTTATGCCCTTCTGAAAGGTTAAGGCAATTCCAGTCTGCTCTCATGATGGATTACACTGTAGCCTATTCCTGAACACAAGTGATACATGGGTTTTGAGGCTGGATTATGCTATTGTTTTTGTTGTTAACAGGAAAGGATGCATAATAATTCAGACCTTCTCTTTGTTTTAGGCCATCTGGGTGGTAGCTTTTGTGGCTTCTCTTTTCCTGGGACTAGACTATGGTTTGCTTACTGCAGTAACGTTTGCAATGATAACCGTTATTTACAGAACACAAAGGTCAGATTTCTTCTTTATCAAAATTAGTGTTTGCTGGTCTTCTGTGTGCTTTTGTTTGTTTAAGGGGTGCCAATAAACAGAAGTCCATTCCACCCTCTTCAACTTCATGCAGTGTAGAATTTACTTCCTAATATAGGTCATGTCCTTTGGCTCTGATCCAGGGTTCATATTTTCTTTTTCTGAGAACAAAATTTCTAGAGGGCATGAACTTGCACTCTCAGTAATAAACAGAAGATTTTTGATTTCTTATACTGGTTAATCTTCTTGGTTTTTTTTTTTATGCTTAGAGTTTGAAAATTTAAATCTGCTTGCTGCCAATTTCAGTACATGATTATGTTTTGTGTGCACTACTTGTCATAGACAAGCAGAAGTTGTGTCCAGTTATCAGTAGATGAATATTTAGGTATTTTATTAAAAAGTTCTAATTTATTAAAAAAACTGTGCCTGTTCTTGTAGTTTTTCAAGTCACTTCTCCCCATTGAAAGTGACAAAGCTTTTACTGTGAAGCTTTCCAGGTCTACAGTGAAATGATTTCTTGCATGTGTGAATTGGACTGTCATGTGAGGCTTCTGGGCTCAAGGTCTGGGACATCTAGGTGGAAACTCTATAAAAGTCTTGGTTTTGGTCTGCATTGGAATGAAAGCAAATTGTGAGATTTTTCACTCTGCAGAATAAGATTATTTTTCTGCCATCTCTATACAGTTTTGTTCTTGCAAACAGTAATGTACTTTGCTTTTCAACAAATAACAGCATTACAGTGCTAAGTTTAAAAACTGTTTTTGCACTGACAGAAGCAAACTTCCTTCTTAGTGTGTTCTGCCATAAACTGGTGACTGCATTTGACTGTGTTTAGATACTCTTGTACCGGACAGGCCCTGCTCAACGACCATTTAAAATAAGTTTCAATCTGTATCAAACACTCACTTTTCCTCTTTATAGTTGATAATACTGAAACATTTGTCTCCATTTCTCTCTAGTCCTCAATACAGAATCCTTGGTCAGATTCCTGACACTGACATCTACTGTGATGTGGAAGAGTACGAAGAGGTAGGAGTGTGTTCTTCTGCGTTGAGGAGTTTAATGTGGTGGAGCAAAGGCAGCTGTGGCAATTTGCTGCTTAGCCCTACCACACTGCACATACAGTGCTGTCTGCCAAGCATTCACCTGTGTTGAAGAGAAAAATGATGAATTTGGTTTTAGTAGTAAAAACTGTTTTGTTCAAAATGTGAGCTCTTTGTGCTGCGTGTACATTTGACCAGGAAGTGATCAAAAGTAACTTTTTACTAGTTGCATCGTACTAGCTTGTTCAAAATGGTAAGGTTCATAGGAATACCACTGCTTAAACCTGCTATGTAGATAAGTGCATACCAGACCACCTTCTTTACCTGTGCATCCGTATTGCATGGAATCCATGGAACACAGGATCCAAACTCTTATGTTCTTCAGAATTGCACAAACTGTTCAAAACACCATCACCCTGCCTCCACTCGTCCCTTGCTCATTAAATATGCATAATTAATGGAACAACTGCTCACTGTGCACTTAGCTTCTTATAAATGTCATCTTGCTCAACCAAAAGTTGGTGAAAACATTACATTTTGTCAGTGTAATGGATATAAACGTGCTCTGTTTATTCACAAACAGCAAAAACAATTTTCTGCACTCTCTGCCATGTTCTCAGAGATGCTGCTATGAAGGCTGTACATCCCCTTTACTATGGAACCAGTCTGTAAAAGCCTGTGTGAAAAGATGATGCTATAATCTGAAAACATTCTCTCACCAGCAGTTCTGCTTTAAATATGATGCAAAGCAGAAGTATATTGGGCATGTTTACAGCTGTTTGTAAAGGAGAGGAGACTCCTTTTCTCTTACACTGAATGCAGTCAGCATTTCCTCCTCCTGGGTGAAGAATGGGGTTGGCAGCATATGGCAGGCTGGCTCTGCTGCTGGCTGGGTCATTTGCATGTAAAATGTCAGAGTTCAGCTCCTTTGGAGATGACTGCATTTAAAGTATGACCTGTCTGAAGGTCTGGTTAAAACTAAAGATTGGAAAGGTTGTTTTCTTGGTACCTGAGGAGTCAGGAAAGAAAGAGAGAGAAAGAGGGAAGTAAGTCATTATGCCTGTGGAAAGGGAGGCTAAAAGGACGCAATCCTAGATCTGCATGATTTGCTCATGGTAATACCAGCAACATCAGAGAACTGCAAGTTTTTAATTCCTTTTTATGGCTGTACATATGGTTGTTATAAAGAAGAAGAAATGTCACCAGGCATTAACTGTGTGCAGTATTATACTGTGAAAGGGGGAGGTTCTGATCTTCTGGTTCGCTTTGCTTGCAACAATGCCAACCTTCTTTATTTGACATATGCTGAGAGACATTGAGGGATGGCTGTTACTCTGCTGCATGTTTGTGTGTCTTGTGATCACACAGGCACTTTTCTTATATTTAACTGTGCCCATCCAATATTTTCCTTAGGTTAAAGAATATCCTGGAATAAAAATATTTCAAGCTAATACATCACTTTATTTTGCTAATAGTGAGTCATATGCAAGTGCGCTGAAGAAAAAGGTGAGTAAAACAAATTCTTTAATGTCTGTGTCTTGAAAATTCAAACTGGCTTCTGAAACACACTCAGATCCTTTTGTGTAGCCCCTAGCACAATGTTTCTCAGCCTGTGGCCCCTGGTGATCAGTGATATGTGAGGAGGTGACCCTCCAGCCAAATACAAATTATCTTAGGAAGCAACAACATGGTGGGAGGGAATAAACAAAGTGTAGCTTGATACTGACTGTTCATGAATGGAAAGTCTGGTGGTTGCAGAGCACAAACTGGTCAAATCTTTTTTTTCAGAAGGAAATTAGTTGCTGAACTGAAAGCAAAATGGGAATAAAAGCTTCCTTGTTCAGTGACTTAACTTTACTGGAGTGTAAGAGCGTGGAATACTGTGGGCATTTAATGACTCTCATGGGGAACAAATTACCTGCATACAGAGTATGCCTCATCTCTGTCTAACCAGTGGTTTGGGTGGGTGGGAATGGCAATGGCAGAACTGCCTGACCCACTTGCAATTGCACCTGTACTAACTTCTGAAAAATTTTTCTGTAGCTCCCATGATGAGTCTTAATACAAAACAGGTGGGTGGTGCTGACCCTCACAAAACAAGAGATATTAGTGATTATTGCCCAAATGCACTTCTCTCCCCTTCGCTCTCTGCACTCAAATCAGCATTCGGTTGCAACACAGCACTCTCTGATTTCAAGAAAAGAATGAGACACATCTCTCCCTCATCTTGTTAACACAGTGCTTGCCAAGATTATTCCTTCTTTATACTGCTCTTACTCCTTCCAAGGGAAGCTGAACAATGCAGGCTTGTGTTTTAAATTTATGACAGTGATTAATTTGGTGCTAGTTGATACTGCAGTGTCATCCTAACAAGCTGAATCTCCTCGAATTGTGCTTTCTTCTCGTGACAGACTGGAGTGGACCCTTGTGCCATATTAGCAGCGAGGAGAAAAGCCCAGAAGCGACATGCCAGGGAAATAAAGGCAGCAAATGAGCACCGAAAGAAAGCTGTATTGAAACTAGTGAGTTCTTCGGTAAATATTGACCTGCTTTATCAGAGAAGATGCTGCTTTCTGGGGTTGCCATTCTTGTTTATACAAGGTGCAAAGTGCTACTCAGGTGGGAGGAAGGCTTAGGGAGTAAGCACTGTGCAGTGGGGACAGGTCACTGAAGGAACAGTGCTAGGATCAGAGGCTCATGGCTGGATTGGATAATTGTGTTGGACCTTGATTGCATTGAGGTAGCACACAGTGGCACAGAGCCTCTCCACACTGTCACACTGTCTCAGCAGTGGTGTTGGCAGAAATCAGAGGGACTCTCCCTCTGCTCCTCCCCACGCACTTGGAATAGTCATGTAGAAATAAGATATAATAAAATTAATTCAAATTAGCAGCCCCTGTAATAAAAAGGTGCCATCCTCCTGATCCTGGCTTGGCTAAGTGGGGCAGGCACACTGAGAGGGGTTGTTTGGGACATGCTTGTGCCTTTATGCAGGTTTAAACTCATCTCTGTGGTGGGAGCTGGCATGTGCTTTTTACAGTGAGAAACCAAAACCAGGCCTAACTTGAGAGCCCAATTGCTCTTGTTTCTTTTGCATATATAGGGCTTGACAGGATCAGCAGGGATAAGACAAGGAAATGGAGTAAAAATGTATGAACAGGTGTCAGTGTTTGAAGGAAATGGGTAATTCACTCCTGAGAGTGAAGCTTTAAGCTGCTTGTACGTGACTGTAGAAAGGCTGGGCATGAGAGAATAAACCTTGATATGTACAGGATGCAGAAGTACATGTGCATGCAAAGCCAGTTTCTGTGGGGATTAGAAGCTGAACACCTTCTAAAGGCTTAAGGAACAGCCGAGTTTGGGGAGGAAGGGGATCTACATTGAAGAGGCACTGACTGTCGTTAAGCTTTATTTATCCTCTCTCCCAGACTAATGACGTAGAAGCAAGTGTAAAACACGAGATAGCAAATGATGACTTACCCGTGAATGGAAAATTTGCAGATTCTGGTGTACAAGACGTGTCTCCTGATGAGCATGAACATTTTGTGGAGACCAAAACCAACATTCGCTCTTTAATTCTGGATTTCACCCCGGTGAACTTTGTGGATTCAGTTGGAGCAAAAACACTAAAATCAGTAAGTAGGGCTTTTTTCCCCAGAAAAACCCATAACAAACTTTTAAGATACCTAATAGGGAACCTGTAAGCATGAGACATGACTGCCCACTCAAATACAATCCAATAGTTCACCTAATCACTGTTTTAATTCTTTAAGTTTTAGCTGAATACTGGGGAATGTGGACTGTGCAGCTTTCTCAGTATTTGGCTTCCAGAACTGTGATGTGTATGATGATATGTCTGCATTTAACTTCAGTTTAACTCTGTTGCAGATTATAAAAGAATACAAAGAAGTTGGTGTCTGTGTCTGCATTGCCTGCTGTAGTGGTGAGATGAGATTTTTTTTTTCTTTTTGTGAGTTTTATGGGAGACACTGTGTTTTATCTCTTTCCCTCTGCTCCCAGATTTTCTGCTGCCAGGTGCCTCAGTAGAATCAGCACTTACTACACATAAAATTGGATTTGAGGAAAAGCAAGTCCCTGTGCATTAGGGCCTTCACTTTAGTGATAGTAGAGCACTGATGTAATGAACACTGTGAGCACTAGATCATGCTCCCATTTCTTCCAGCTGGCCAATTGTAAATGCTACACTAAACATTGTGTCTTGAAGTTGTTGTAGTAATGTAATAAGAAGAAAAGCCTGAAATGTTCCAAGATTCCAATATTTGGAATTGTAGCATGTTCTGCCAAGAATATGGCTCTGTGTATGTCTGGATAAGAGAATTGCCTCTTTGAAGTAGAAGTAGCATGGGATCCATCTGGCTATTTTAAATATTTTAATTAACAGCAAGTAAGAGAATAAGTTGTTATCTTCTTCCTGAGATGCCATTGCCTTCCATCTCTGCACTTGGGTTTATTTGCTGATGTTGTGTTGTGTTTTTGTTTTGTAGGCCCTGTTATGAATGAGCTGACAAGACTGAACTTTTTTGATAAGGCTGTAACAAGAGAGTTGCTGTTTCACAGTATTCATGATGCTGTCCTTGCTTGCCAAGTGAAAGATGGGTCTGCTTTTACAGACTGACTTTGACCTCTGAAGAGTGGCATCGAGCAGAATGGAAGCCAGATTTATGCTGATGGAGACTCTTTCTGAATATTTAATTTGCACAGTTTGAAGAGAGCCTAAGGCTGTTTGTATCTACGGGTATAGGGTGGTACTTATTTTTTTGTAGGAAGAGTGGATAAGGAATTGGAAGCCTTCATGCTCTTGAATGTTTTCCTTTAATCAGGGTATAGCCTTCCAACAATACACAAGCACAAAATTATGCAAGAAAAGAAAATTCAGTGTGTTCTGCTGCAGTCAAAATCTAGTAGACAAGGTGACATTCCTGTTCCTGTTGAGAAAATGGGCACTTTAACTCACTACAAGTGGGATCTTGCAGGAAGTAACTGTCTGCAAGTGCAATACACTGTACCAGTGTCTTTAAAGAACTTTTTTAGAAGGCTTTTAAAGCCTGATGTCAACATCTGCATACAACAGATTCATACAATTTATAATAATCTGCCAGCTGGATTAATGAATTCACACTGGTGGCGTTTAACTGCTGCTGTTTTTAACCCTGGATGGTACAGTTGTTTGTTTTTTTTTAAAGATCTAACCTGTCTCAACTATACTCAACTCTTCATTTTTGCTATGAGTGAACATGGAATCAGAAACTCATTGTTTAATTATTACGTTATCAATATGGTACTTTTACTGCCAAAACCTAGTTAGACTTTCTAGAAGAGAATACAATTGATTTTAAGCTAAAATTAATTTAGCTTCAAAATTTGAAGACAAAACGGGTTTGAGGCAGGAGTGAAGTCTATTTAAATTAAGAACTGGTGCCCTAGGTGCAGCCTCTGAAGCTGGAATGAAAATGTAGACACAGTCTAAAGTCTCAGTGGTCCAAAAAAAAAAAGGAGGACTTTTCTTTTGCCCATCTTCCAGTAGTGCTGCTTTTGCCTCAGCTTTTAAGTGCTTTGAGAAATAGAGTTCAATAGAACTCAAAAATGTTACATGTTTGGGTTTTTTAGAAGAAACAATAGTGTGGGAGTTTTTTTCTGTCAGCCTGGCTGCTGTGGTACTGCCTCACTTCAGGTGTGAGATGAAAACCATGAAAACGGAAAACATGCAAAAGAAAGAAATCTTCAACGTGTTTCCCTCCCAACAGTCACTGTGAAGCTCAGCAGAGGTAGGAATCTGTTTCTCTGCAGCTTATTTCGACAGCTCAGGGGAAGTGGGACACCAGTGACATTTCATTTGGCACCCTCAAATCACAGGCCCTGTACATAAGGGAATTCAGACACCTTCCTCACTTCTGATCACAGAATGTAACACTTTCATTTTGCTTCAGGCTCTGTTGTGATTAGGGCTTGCTTCAGGTAAACCAAGTTTCCCAAGAATCAGGGAAGTCAGGGAAGATTTTTTTATTTCCTCAGACTCCCCTGCCAATTGGGATAGGAAGCTTTCTGCATCAGAAATTGCTGCTTAGCTGGAGTTCAGAGGATGAAGTGCATGCATGTTAACACATTGTGTGTGCTTATTTAAACAACTTTTGGTACATTTTATAATGTTAACCAGTTCAACAAGCCTTTGTATCTACATACAGTATATTTTTCTACTTTCAGCTTGTCGCAGCTTCAGTTTTTAACTCCGTAGTCTCTTCAGTTCACATTGAAATCCTATCAACTTCCAAAATAAAGTGATGTCACTTGTCAAAATTTTCCACTTTGTCTTGGTGAGACTCTGTATGAGGGACAAGCTGAGGCCCCTGGATACAAGTGTCTGTTGCCAAGGGGCGGGCCAGGAGGAGTTGCCACCTCCAGGCAGGTCTTCCCTGCTGTGCCGGTTCCTGCTCCTCACCCTCCTGGCTCATTCACCCCATGAAACCCTCTCCTTGCCCGGCCTCTGTGGGATACAACTAATGCTGTGTCTCCCATCCTGGTAGCAACAGCTGCGGTTCCCAGGGAGCTGCTGGAATGCTGGACTGAGCACCTTTGCCCAAGCAAGTCCCAGATCCCAGCCCATGTGAACTAGTGCTCCTGCAGCCCACCAGCAGTGCTGGTAACTGACCCAGTAAAACAAAACCTGGCAGCTTTTGCTTAGTCTCTTCCTGTGCTTTGCTGCCACCAGCTGAAGCACTGCTTCCTGCTGCCAGCCTGAGCTAGCTCTTGGAAAGGGAACTAACTTCCCCTTTCCTGCACTGATTAACAGACTGCTATCTAAGTTTAAATCCCGCTTTAGGCTTGTCAGTGCTAGATTAAACAAACCCATGTCCTTTAAACCTGTAACAGTGCTCACCTCCTTCCCCTCTCCAGTTTGTCTCTATGGACAGGATAGTGCCTCCACCCCTTGGCTGCTGAAGCCCCACCACAGCAGAAGTCACTTCATAGCCCAAGTCTGGTTCGATGCCTCTTAACAATCAGGGTAATATTCCTCTCCCCCTCCTTTTTTGCAAGAGTACTGATGATATAAATTAGGATACCTGTAAGATCGAAACTCTCTTTACATACTTCACTTATCCTTCTTGAGTAGAAGGTACACTTGACTTCGAGTGCTGTTCCTGGTAAATAGAGATACTGTCAGTGCTGCTCTCTCAACCACCTTCCTCTTGGGCTTAAAATGAAAAACATTGTGTCCCACCAATAAACTAGCATCTCTCCCCAACATATTCTTCCCAAAAGGACACATAACCATTATTGAGATGAGCTCTTCAGCAGGCATGGGCAAAAACTCAGAATTGCCTGAGTTTGCTTTTTCAAGATACTGACACCAGCCAAAATCCTAACCCAGTGCATGTGCTGTGTACACTCTCTCCCTATTGCACACACTTCCTCTTCAAAGAAAATAAAAGTGGCTTCACAATTTAAGCTTGTTAAATTGATGTCAGTTTTATCAAAATGACACCAAATAAAACTCTCACTTCCAAGACAAAGCAGTTCCCAAAAACATTTTTCTCCTCAGTTATTTCTTCAAGCTCTTCCCCCTTCCAGATAACCACTTCAATGCAACACTTGAAAATAGGAAGATGAAGGCACACCCAGCTCTACAGGAACATGTCAGATGAGTGACAATCAACCTTTTAAGGCCTGTTGCCAACAACTATCAGCCACTGCCCAACTATGGAGCACTGGGTGTCTGTCATGGTCATCCTCTGTGTGTAGAGGCATCTCAGACAAGTCATACAACGCATCAAAGTGCACACTAGTGGACTGATGTCAAAGTGTTTTAGAGCAGGATCAGGGAAAAGCAATCTTTCTTCCCTTAGCACTAAGAAATTACACTTAACCTCTTCCTCCTTGGCTCTCTTACTGTTTTGTAAGAAACAAAGAATCTCATCAAAAGGGATGAAGAAAACCACTGGAGGAAAAACAACCAAGCTGTGATGGTACCAGAGCATTCACTCGGGGAGAGAAAAAATGTCCTTTTGTGTTCTCCCTAAGCTGGACAATGACTCAGACCATCACACATGCCTTCCAGTGGCAGCTCCCGAGTTTTCTTGGGATGCACCTACACCTCAGTGCTGAGCATCACACAAACATTTCTCAGTACACCCAGAAACTTAAGGGTCCTTCACACGTCTGTGGCTCAGATTACAAATTTTGGGTTGTAGATGGTGACCAGAAATCCAAACTTGGGATGTCTAACACTGCCTAGGTATCTGATTTAAAATTATCTCACTCCTTTAGGTTGTGTTACCAGAATCCCTTTGGAATTTTTTTCCCTGCAGCAGCAATACTCCACTGGTGTAGAACACACTCGCAATGAACACACACCTGCTCTTTGGAATACTCTATTTATTTCTGGCTTCCAAGAACAAAACATTAATTACTACACTTGTATTTGTGTTCTGCAGAAGGTTTAAGAGGAACATGAAAAACATTCCCTGCATTAGTTGTAGGTCATGTAGCGGGGGGTAGCACTGAATTTCGCATAGGATTTAATGACTTTGTTCACTGCTTCCAAGAAATCCTTCTCCGTTGCAATCTTCCGGCGTGCTCGGATGGCAAACATTCCTGCCTCCGTGCAGACACTGCGGATCTCGGCGCCTTGGGAAGAAAGGGATAAACCAATTCAACACTGACAGTGGAGACAGAGCACACACAGAATTGTTTAAATAACTGAACACATTCAGCTCACCTGTGCTGTTGGGACACAGTCGAGCCAACAGCTCAAACCTGATGTCTCTCTCAACACTCATGGAACGAGCGTGGATCTTGAAGATGTGAGTTCGCCCCTGGAAAAAAGGGTGGAGGACAGAGGTGTTCATGGCATGAAAGAGATGATGACTCCAGCCTGCAATTGTCCACATCCACAGCATGGGCACATAGAAAATACATCCTGTATTTGCTGCCCAACTATAGTTTCCCATGTCTGAACTGGAATGTTTAAGTTTCCATGATACAAATTTAGGAAAATAGCTTTAAAAATAGCTTTAGTCATGGAAGTACCTCAAGTAATCTCTCTCAAAAGAGCCAAAAGAAAAAACATTCCAACTTCTGAACTGTATCATGGATCTAGTTATAGGATTTTTTATCTGTTGAGGCAGGAACATCTGTTGAGCAGTGATTACAGCTGTTCACCATGGCTTCTCAGCCAGGGGTGGGATCTGTGCAGTGTGGGAAAACCTTTGGCACACCTTTAATCCCCCAAATTTCCAAATAGTTTCACATCAGTTAAGAGTCCTGCTTTTGTTAACTCTCATGAACTTCCAGACAATAAAGCCCCAACTGAAGAAACACTCTGGCATCAGAACACACTTGGCTGTGGAAGAGCGTTCTCACCTCCAGGTCAGGCAAGCTGAACTCAATCTTCCTGTCCAGCCTGCCGGGCCTCATCAGCGCCGGGTCCAGAGTGTCGGGTCTGTTTGTGGCCATCAGCACCTTGATGTTGCCCCGTGGGTCAAACCCATCCAGCTGGTTGATCAGCTCCAGCATCGTGCGCTGCACCTCATTGTCACCCCCAGCCCCGTCGTCGAAACGAGCACCTGGAGAGGAGATGCAGGAATTCCACAGCGAGGGAAATGATTTTAGATGGTACCCAAGTACTTGTGATGAGTTAAAAAGGTGTGAGGGGGTTATTTGGAAACAACACATTTCAAACCAAGAGTTAGTGCTGCTATCTGTCACATAAACTAACTGTTGGATCTTCATCCTTCATACCAAAGGGCCTGTACCTCCCCGTGGAACAACTGGCCAAGCTGCCGGAATTTATAAATGTAGTTTGTTTGTTTTGCCTCCCCTCAACCAAAATCCTCCCTTGTCTGTGTAAAAACTGTTCTACTTCAAAAGACCTAAGCACTTCCTTTGAGAAAAAAATTCAATGTTCAGGCAGTAACAAAGATTTGGTGTGTAGGCCAGAAGCTGAAGGGGGTTTAAGTTAACAATACTTGTTTGCAAACATAATACAGAGATTCTTCACTAAAGTTCAAATAATCTGGGTGTTCCAAATGTACAAAAATGGCTTCTCCTTGGGGCTGTATAAACCACTTCCTGACTTCTTCCTAGACATGGGGTGTGCTGGGAGTAGTTTTGCTAACACAGAGTTTACAAGCACATTTCTTGAAATGCAGCACTCCAGATAAAGAACTATAACATGGAAAGAAAATCTGGAAGCTCTCATATGGGATTAGAACTATAGCCACTAATAACATACCTCCAATGGCATCAATCTCATCAAAGAATATAAGACAAGCTTTTTTAGTTCTGGCCATTTCAAAGAGTTCACGAACCATACGAGCTCCCTGAAAGCAAAAATTAAGATTTTGTTAGAGTTTTGAGGCACATTAAAGGAAAACTATCGAACTTTTCATGCTCCCAAACACTTCTAAGTTTCCAATGAAAAAACTCTTTTTATTTGTTCACATATATAATAGGACATTCATAAAATGGATGCTTAAAGCAATTTATAAAGGAGAGA